CTTCTAGTGCGGTAATAGACAAAATGCTCGAGTTTGTGTCTAGGTTCGGAATACCTCACACCTTGGTTTTTGATAATGGCACATCGTTTTGTTCCGAAGAATTCATTACATTTTGTAATTTAAATGGTATTAAACATGTGAAGTCGCCTGCATATCAACCGGCTAGTAATGGTCAAGCCGAGAGCTATGTGAAAATTGTCAAAAAGGCTATTAAATCTAGTCTCGTAACAAGTAAAAATTCAAGAGAATGTAAAATAAGCATTCTACAATATCTTTTCAATTATCGTAATTCGATTCATTCTACCACAGGTTCATCACCAGCTCACCTAGTTTTTGGGCACAAATTAAGATCGCGGTTAGACCTAATTAATCCGATACAGCCGACCCCCTCGTCTATAGAACTTGCCAATAACGTAAAGTCTAAACAGTGTTCGCAGGTTAAATCTTATGGAGGTTAAATAAAAAAATCGTTTTCAACGGGAGAGTCTGTATTATATAAAAAATATTGTAATAATAATTAGTTTTCATGGGCTAAAGGAACAATTGTGAAAAAAATTGGTAACATGTTGTTTATTGTACAAAATGATGTAACTTTAAACCTAGTTCGAAAACATGTAGATCAAATTATTAAAACAAACATTAATTTGAGTAGGGCCTTAAAACAAATTACAATAAGAATTAAGATAAGCAACCGTGGGATCACACTTGCGATATAGTCACAATAGAAAGAAATGACGCCACACCATTGCCACCACCTCCACGGTCTCTTCCGCAATCACCTGTGTCGGAGCCGTACGCGCAGACGTCAGTGCCACACTTGCCACCAGACGTGCCATCACTTGTGCCATCTGAGAGAATGCTCCACGACGTCTTGGGGAGAGATGGGGGCAATGAACAATCTGCGCCATCGCACACTTCTACTGACTCGGAGTATGGCCAGACGCCGTCAAAGGTAACGATGATAAGAGGAGACCCGTTTCTTCCGCCGACAATGATGAGTTTTATGAGGCCGAACAGAGTAACCAAAACGAGGTTCCGGCACATCGCAGGGTGACTCGTCAGCGTTCCAAAATTAATTATAAAATATTTTATTAGTCTTAAATATTAGGGGAGGAATGTTATGTATGTAAGCTGCGACCGCTATTGAAAATAAATCAGTGTGTTACCAGCCACAGAGCGTTTCACTCGTATTCCCCGCACACAATATATAACAAGATACAACGTCAGAGACTGTCTGCTGGCTGAAGCTGCAATCAAAATCTTTTAAAAGCTTCGCGATGTGACACAGCAAAATATTGTGAAAAGTTTTAATCAAATTTTTATATATTTATTTATTTATATTCATACAGCGTTTTCATCATATTTACAATACAAATTATTATACAGTAAGGCCAATAGAGATTACACAATTTTTATCAACTAATAATTAAGCGTGCGTGTGTGCTTGAGTAAGTGTGCATGCGTGTGTCCGTGTATGTGAGTGTGTGTGTGTGTGTGTGTGTGTGTGTGTGTGTGTGTGTGTGTGTGTGTATGTGCGTGTGTGTGTGAGTGTGTGATTATGCCCTATTTTTGTTTACAACAGCGCGTTTGATACGATTCTTGGATAGGTTGAAAATATCCAAGTCAGCGTAACACTTATTATAATTTTGAACAATACGACATAGAGTAGAATTTTTTGCGTAATTTGTGTTTCTTAGTGGTACGTGGAATAATGGTGTATGTCTAGTTCGGTATTTAGGTACTAGTATCGATATTTTAGATAACAGGTCTGGACAATCTATATTACCAGACCATAAACCGTGTAGTAAGAACATACCATGTTGAAGTCTTATGGTTTCCAAGGTATCTAAGCGGTAAAATTTGCAAGCATCTTCGTATGTCGCAAAACTATTGTGATCTTTTGATAAGATAAACTTAATGAACAGTTTTTGAATTGATTCTATTCGATGCTTATGCTTAGCATATTTTGTACACCAGATTGTATTAGCGTATTCCAGAATACTCCTTACGTATGCAAAATATAGAGCTTTAATGCAATGAATACTGCTAAAATCGTTGCAGACGCGCTTTATGAATCCAATTTGCTTGTAAGCTTTGTCAACAATATTGTATATATGCTCATTGAACGTTAATTTTGAGTCCAGCCTGATACCAAGATCTCTAACTGATGATACACTCTTTATGGAGTTATTGTTAATTGAATACTTGTAATCTATGAGCTGTTTCTTGCGACTGAAGGTTATTTTGACACATTTTTCACTATTGATAGTAATTCTATTTTTTCTATAATAAGTTTCTAGGTTTTTTTTTAAATCGTTTTGAATCAGAACACAGTCATCAATTGTTTTTGTTTTTAGATAAAAATTCTTGTCATCTGCGAACATTAAATAGTTTGAGTGATAGAAGCAGTCACCGATTTCAAATAAATAGGCATTATAGAACAAAGGTCCGAGTATTGAGCCTTGTGGGACACCAGATGTTACCGTAATAAAATCACTACGAGCACTACCCAGTAACACTGCTTGCCTTCTGTTACTTATGTATGAAGTTACCCACCTGTGCAAATCACCATGAATACCCAAACTGTAAAGTTTACGTAAAAGGATGGCATGATCAACACAGTCAAATGCTTTATCAAAGTCCGTGTATATTACATCAACCTGCTGCCTGTCGTCCATGCTCATATATATATAATTGGTAAAAATAGCTAAATTTGTTACGGTTGATGATATTAGTCCCATAATCATATAAATATAAGTTTTTCAAAAATCTTTCCAAATGTGTTCAATATGGAGATTGGGCGGTAGTGCTCAATTCTGTTTTTTGATCCACTCTTATGTATAGGTATTATTAGAGCTTCTTTACACTTACTAGGAAATGTTCCATAGGTAACATTCAGTGAAAGAAGACTTATTAAAGATTATTGAGAGAGACTTGCCCAAGTGTTTTGCACATTTATTTATAAATATGGGAGGTATGCCATCGCTACCAGGCCCTGTATTGGTTTTAAGTGTATGTAGAATACGAGAAACATTTTTAGTACTAAAGTATATATTATGTAGTATATCGTTTGATTCAACGTTTGGAATATGGGAATAATCGTAAGAAGAAGAAGGTTTTTGAAAAACACATTCAAAGAATTTATTAAATCCCGCACACACGTTCGTTTCATTTGTGTATGATTCATTTCCTAATTGTAATGTATTAGGGTATGTAGAGTTGCTATTACGTATAGATTTTAAATAAGACCATAATATTTTAGGATCTGTTTTTAAAAGACTTTGCATTTTATCTAAATAACGCTCGTGGCACTGTTTCTGTAATTTCTTTTGTCTAGTACGTAGTATGCAAAATTCGTTATAATCACGAGGATTTTTATACTTTTTCCAATGTTTATGTTTTAAGAGCTTTTCTCGAATAATATGTTTTAACGATTTAAAATACCAAATAGGGTAATTAGATGAATGGGATAAACAAGTAGGTACAAATTTATCAATTATTAGGTGTACTTGGGAATAAAAATTTTGAACTACAACATCAATTGAGTTGCCAATTAACAAGATAGACCATTTGAGTTCTGAGAGAGTTTCATTTATTTTATCGTAATCAGGTCAGTAAAAGTTTAATTTAGATCGTGGTTTATTTTTTAAACAGGGTATTGACAGATCAGATGCGTCGAGCAATAAAGATGGATGATATTTATCCTCAGATACAAGATATATTTGAGAACGGGTAACGTCTATGTTTATGTTACTAAACATTAAGTCTAGTACGTTGCCGCTATTGTTGCTAATAATATTATGTTGATTTAGCCCTGATAAGTTGCATAGATCAATTAACTTTGTTGTAGCATTTTGTAATTCTACTGGACCTTGCTTATACAGAAGGATAATTTCTTCTTACTTGCCGTTGGCAAAAGTACAATTATTGTGTTTTTAATCAAAGAAAAAGGTGCGCTAGCACTTATTAATTTGTGCCTCTAGCCCTCCAACGCAAATATCAAATTCATTGAAACACTCGTAGTATCCTCTTAGTAGCCTGTGGATACACTTGACCACTAGAGTTTTGGCAGGAACTTAACCGGCGGCGATTTTTTGCTCCTGTATTATTGTTTAAATAATGGTTTGAAGTGGACTTTGATATGTAAAAGTGGTGCGGTTTTATGTATTAAGTGTCTGCGCATGTGAACTATTAGTGGAAACTGTGAAACATGTGCTCTGATGGTAATGTGATTCTCAAAATAAGGTGTCTGTCTGCTTAGGCGCCTTGAGATACCATCGCCATTCATCAGCTGTCTGCTGGCTCAAGTTGCCGTCAAAATCTCCCAAGGGCTGCACAATGTGACGCATCAACATATTGTGAAGCAGTATTCTATGAAGGATTTATTATAATATATTGTAACCTCAGGCTCAGAAGGGCTAAATTCCAGAGCCATAAAGCAAGTTGTTAAGAAAACCTTGACCATTTTCTTTATCTATGCTCTTGACACTTGACATTGACATTGACAGTTTCGTTCCTAACCAAAAATAAACAAATTGCACGCCTATTTATCCCGTCAGGATACATGTATTCTGTGATCTATACTTATAATATGTTTTTTAAAGATTATTTATTAGACATAAACATATAGTTCGTAGTTCCAGTTTGTGTTGAAAATGATGTTTATAAATCTTTTAACTTTTTCACTTTCAATGCGATATGTTTACCTAATAGAAATTAAGGATTTCAATGTGCCAGCTGAGCATATGGGTTATATTCTAAACTCATTTCCAAGTATAGCTGACAATTGTAAAGCCGATTTTAGTTGTCCATTTAAAAATGTTATCGAGAATAAAGTTTGTTGGGGATACGAGACTCACTGTTACAAAAATATATCTTACCATGTGAGACCCAGATGCCCTGGTGATCATCGAGGCTGGGTTACAACGAAAGAGGCTCAGTATGATACTTTTTATACACAAGCTGACTTTGGTAATTATTTTATTTTTTAATTATTTTATGTGCAACGACCAGTATCTAGTTCTTTAGAATATTTTCACATATTTTGTTTATCAGAAAATAATCAACATTAATATTATTTTGAATATCTCGATTATATTTGTTATGTGAGATATAAAACTGGTGTGAAGTTATTACAAAACCATCTTTCTGATGGAGAAATGATCATTCTAACATTTAAAAGCTAGCCATATTTCTCTAGAATTAAGTTACAGATATAGTTGTAAAGTAAGTGAATATTCAATAAAGTCAACTCTCAATAATTTGATACTCTTTAATTTTAAATTTATCCCTGGTCCCTTGAAAAATAAGTGATAAATTGAATAATATCAATATTAATTGGATCCCTCAGTAATTTGAAGTTGGAGGAATAGTATCTTGCCCATCAACATGCAATCATTTGAAGTCTGGGCTTCCCTACTCTTGATAATTTGAAGCATTTATCTCTCGATTGTTTACATAAATGAAAGAGACTTCTTTTCAAAATGAACATTTGTGAATAAGTGTACTAATGTTTAAAATAATAAATCATGAATTTTGATTAAAACTCTTGTTGACCTGTTTTTCTCATCCCTGGCTCTTGGTTATCTGAACTCCTGTTATTTTGGAATTTTTCTCTGGTCCCTTGAGTTTCAAATTATGGAGAGTCTATACTGTACTATAAAATTAAAGTTAGGTTAAATAGAATATAGTATCAAAAACATTGTAATGATCACAACACAACCAGACCCAAGGTTGGAATGTGGTTGCCAGGTAGGATTTCTGACATTTGATAAGTTTATGTAGTTGTTAGTTGTTTATTGTTTATTAGCTATCAGCCTTGGCTTCGCATGGTTAATTTCTGGATCTCTACAACAAAGCCATCTCTACCTTGTCCAATTGTGAATCTAAACCATTCTCTACTTAATCACACAAAATTTCATCAAAATCGGTCCAGCCATTTAGGAGGAGACAGAAGAATTATATAATATATACTATGCATGTATTGTAAACCTTCCTCTTGAATCATTCTGTCTATTGATGAAAAATGCATCAAAATATGTCACACTACAAACTACAAACTATCTAAGTGTACAGATGGAGGGAAGTGACTTTGTTTTATACTATGTAGAGAAGATAAATTAGTACTTCAGTTTGGTTTTGTTATGACGCTCATATTACAAAATTAATTTCATCATAATATTCTTGTTAACTTTTTAGGTTATGTCAAGGAACAAATAGATGAATTAAAAGTTATGTGTGAAGCTTCATATCTACATGATAGCTCTTTGGAATGTTCAAAATACTTAAGGTACAGTGTTACAATAATGATAATAATTATTAAATAAATATAATGTAATAACATAAGTCATGATATAATCTGTTGTGTTGTCCAATAAATAAATAAATAAAATAAATAAAAAGCTCCCAAAGATTAAATTTTTATCCAAACTGAATAATATTTCCTCAGGTTCTGTCGAGGTAGAAATTTAATGCTCAACTTTACTGGATTAGTTGGACGTGGAGACAATTTGCGCTATAAAATGGATATTCTGTCTGAAGGACAAATAGGTAAGATGAAAAAGCTTTGATTTTAACATTTGTTCATAACATTTTACATCTTACAGATTACCAGTGTAAAATAGCAGCTTATTGTTGATTTGTTTCATATGGTGTGTGTAAAAAACTGAAGTTCCTTGTTATTGGAAATAAGGAATTTCATTGTAATCCCCAGGGGTGATATTTCGAAGATGTGAAGTGCACATGCACACACACTGAAGCAGTGGACTAATTGCTCCATTACCCTCTTTCAGTGAAAGAAGAGGCTTGTGCCCAGTGATGGGACATACAGCTAATATATAATAGCTAATATATAGGCCAAGATATAATAGTAACAAAAAAATTAAATAAAAAATTTAAGTTGTGTATTTATAAAAATAATAGGCATTTAAAAAAAATCTAACTCCTAATTATCCTCAATAAGTTGTTGCTTGAAATTTAAAGCCAATTGATCCAACTTGGAAGAAGATGTCACTTTTAGCCTAACTATGTATTCAAAGTTAATACATCGCCCAGTTTTAACTGACTGTACTAAAAAAAAATTATTTGGATTTCTTTTTGGAAACTTATAATAGACTCTATTGCCCTTAATAATCAGGCTAGGATTAGGTAATATCTCCAGTATGTCATCAAAAGACACATAAGATATGTCTTCCTCATCAGCTTTAAACAAAAAGGCATTGTTATTTGTTACTTTTAGGCTCATAAGTTTGACTTCGTCTTCCTCATCAGCTTTAAACAAAAAGGCATTGTTATTTGTTACTTTTAGGCTCATAAGTTTGACCTCGCCCTCTTCATCTACATCACTCTGGCAAATAGTGACGTAACTATACAAACTGTACCAGTACAAACACACCATTTCTGATGTTAGTAGCAGTAAGTTCTAAACCACTGGGGCCAACGTCTAATATTGGAGCATTATTTTCTTTTTCGCCTGGTGATTTATTAGGCATTAGAAGATCTCTTTCATCATCGTCTGCCGATTCATCAAAAAACGCTTCTTCATACGTTGTTTTTTCCAAGCGAGATAGTTGCAGGTCTTTGACGTAATTAAACTGATTTACGTAAAATTTGTGCTTTTTTTTAATGTTCTTAATAGCCATAGCTTTCTCAAAAACCGTACTTAATGCTAGGTCTTCATGGCATTTACCAAAGTCTCATCATTCATTAAAATGATTTGTACCCTTGAGTTTTTGTTCACAGCTTCAGAAAAATTGCGTGTATTTGACACAATTTTCTCTCTCCTCATCACTAAATTTAGTACCCGACGTTTAAGGACACCTCCGATTCCGTCTACTGGACCTTTCCCATGACAAGTGGCGAAAAAATTCCACGTCATTTTCAAATTATATCGCTTTTCCATAATTGGAAGAGAGTTAGCAATAAATCGGTTTTTGAATTGTGAAGCTGAACCATCTGACCATTTTTGATGAAACCACAAAGACACAGTAAATATAGAAACTTGTGGCTGCACCCAGTGATACGATTGAATTTCATCGTGCGAAACACAGGTATAATTTTCTGCGAAATCCACTTGCAGAAGCGCAAAGTTGCATTCTGAGCTCATACAATCAATGCAAACCTGATTGTAATGCTGTGCTTGTTCCGTTTTTATGTAACTGTGTTAAGGAACTGTAGAGTCATTTTCGAAATATGTTCACAAAGCAACGACACTGTACCTTTTAGTAAAACCTTTCTAAGCCGTCCATTTTCCTCTTTCCATTCATACCAGCTAATTTCCCTATCTTTAATGAAACAAGTAGCTTTTTCTAATTCAGATTTTTACATCATAGTTTTACAGTTTGTACATTTATGTACATATCAACAGGATGTTGTTGGTGCTTCACAATGAGCAGTTTATGTCAAAAAAAATTTGTCGTAACCAGGTATGTCATTGCAATTTTTGGACAGCGCGTTTACAGCTAATATGTAATTTTCATGATACTTGCAAAGGCAAACATTTACAGGTGTTTGGCAGCTCAGGAGAACATGTTTTGGTCATAGTTCAGCAAATTTACTTTTGCCTATAATCGTTCCGAATTCATCACAAAACAGAGCATATGTTTCGAGAGCATTGCTGAACAAATGCCTGTTTTGGATTTTAACTTTTTTTCCATCTTCGAGACGGACTATTGTTGTGTCTTTAATGCCAGGATTTTGGCGACTAATATCATCACGGACATAAAAAATTTTGACTTTACAACTGTGTCAGCAGAGATCGTTTTCTTCGGTTTTTTTGTGTTTAGGCGTTATTATTTCAGGAGTGATTTGTCTTACTAATGTATGCACAACTGCTCTACACTTCGAAGGACTGAATGGCAGATTCCGTTTAACCTTTGCGACAGCTTTTCCATATGAGCTTTTTGAGGCAAATGCTTTAGTAGGAGTCTCATCTTTAGCAGGTGTATCAGTGGATTCTAACATTTCTTTCTTTAATCTTACTTCTCTCTTTCTCTTCTACACTAATCTTACTTCATCTCTTCTGATGTTTTTTCGCGAAAGGCTTTAAGCACGTCAATCGATGCTGTTTATTTTATCAAACGTCGTTGGCGTTTCCTGTTTTCAGATTCTTTTTTTTAAATTCTTCGAATAATCCTTTAGCTTTCAGCTTCTCTCTCTGCCTGCGCTTCCTTTCTGCAGCTGTATTCGCCATCTATGAAAAAAAAAACGCTACATTTAATTATGATACGGACTGTGACTCTGTCTATTCTGTGACCGACACTACACCTTGACACTGTAATCTTACAAACCTAATATATTTAAAAAAAATACAATTTCCATGAATTACGAACTCTTTATCGATATGTCATCAGCATCGTCGATATGTAGCCAGTGTATAACAAAATATAACAATAATTCAAAAAAACTTACCGTGAAAATTTAATCAAAACTGCACCACAAAAAATCACTATCAGCTGAGCTCATGACGCCATCTCGTAAATGACAGTTTTGCCAGAAAAAAAAGTCATAAAATTGTTTGCCACTATAAAAACTTAAAAGTAACATAATGTTGCCACCATACTTAAGTAGTTTTACAACCAAAATCAGATATTTGTTTTTTTCATTTATAGTAGACTTATGCATGGAATTGCCCTACTTACTTAAAATTATTCTAGTGTGTGCAAGGCTTTCCTCAAGGCCGTAACTTTAAGATTCTAGTTTGAGTGAGATGTAGAGAGACAGAGAAAGTAATGTTACGAAATGTGAGCAAGACAGATATTTTTATTAATGTGTGAGACGGATAGATACACCATTCGGCTAGTGCATCTTCACTAATGCACACACAATAAAGAGTAGTACGTTACGTTACGTCGTTTACCGCGCATTTTACCGTGTTCGTTCGTTACGATTTAGTACTTACCACTTTTTGCTTTGTTTATTGGAGATATTGAAAAATATTTTAAATCTATTGATATTAAGAAAACTGCAGATCTGTGGGGGATTTTCGTTAGTGGTACGTCTATAACATATACATATAATATCGTATCTGGTGTGTTTCCTGATTTAATAAAGCGTAGTAAAGTAATACCTTTAATTAAATCTGGTAGTACATTAGACCCCGCCAATTTTAGACCTATTTCTGTACTGCCAACACTTAGTAAGATTTTTGAAAAAATATTCTTGATCAAATGTTAAATTTTTTAATATAAATAATTTACTTAATAAAAATCAAGTTGGTTTAACAAGGGGTCGCTCGGCAACTAATGCCGGTGTTGAGCTGAAGTTGAGAATTCACAGAATTCTGGGATCACAGGGTATATTCAGTGACTCACCCAAGGCCTTCGATTGTGTTCACCATGAAACATTAATCAGGAAACTTTAACACTACCATATGTGTAATAAAAACTAATAGTGAGTCAACTTGGCGACTAGACGGACTAACGATGGGGTGTCGTTTAGGAGTATCACGTACACGGAATCAGTTGCACGCGTTTGGTATTCACCCAGCAACACGATATTACTCAGTGGTATTGTCATTATTTAATTAACTTGTTTGAAAATATTGGGAAAAGATTGCATGACGCTCTAAGTAAAATTGAATTCTTACAGCCATGTGATGCTTTCCATCACGATTTTCAATTAATGTAAGGATGAGAATTCATTATATAATTAAATTCAACAAAAGACAATTAGAAAAAAAAAAACAATAATAAATGCCGTAGGAAATATTTGTCGGTTGCACATCTCTAACGAGGCGGCGTGCGTAGAATAAACAGAACAGGGCCAATGTATAATGTTAACCCCTTTTATTTTTTTATTTATTCTGTCAACCCCGTACCTCATGTATTCCGCTTAAGATATACGGCTGTATAGGTAAAATATAGTAAAATTAGATAGGTACCCACCTGCACAAGCACAAGTCATTGTTTCCATCACGACAAATCAGGCGAAGCTGCGGGACGCAACTAGTTTTGTAAAGTAGTAATTATTTTGTATCTTTGTATAGAAAAATAAATTATTACGAGGAATACAGATAAAATTTACATTTAATTTAAATACACATCGTTTTAGTGCCATTTAAATGCAAATCATTAACATTGAACCAATTTACTAATTTAGATATAGCATTATTTAGTTCGTCATATTTTAGTAATTGTCGTTTTAATTTGAAAATTAAAGAAGCTTAACTTAACGGTCAGCCACCGCAGAGTCTATATCACCTGAGGATGCCTCGTGTAGAGGCGAAACACGTGTCGTATTGTCGTCAGTGGTGTGTCTTTCCTAGTGTAGTGATGTTGGGAGTAGTGGTGCTGGGATTAGTGGTGACGGGGATAGTGCACGCAATTGAGGGAGGGCGGGAGGTACTCTTCAAACTAGGTAAGACACATTTTATTTTATCGAGCGGATGTACACAAAGTAATTTTTTGTCAAATTTAATATAATGGACTTCCGCAAAGAAACAGAAACAGAAACAGAAACTTTTTTATTCAATATAGATTATAAATAATACTTATTGAAAGTCATTCTTTTGTTTGATTACCACTGGTTCGGAAAAAACCTCTGTCCTGGGAAGAACCAGCAAGAAACCCAGCGGGACTTTTTTTTTTTTAAATAACAGCTTACAATCATGATGTTACACAAATTAACAACACAACAAATTAGAAATAGCTTGGTAGCGATCACCTCATTTCCAGGGGTTATTATCATCCATAAATTCCTTAATATTATAATAACCCTTTTTATACAAACTTAGTTTAATAAAGTTTTTGAACTTTGAACAGGCCAAACTTTGTATATTTTCTGGAATTTTGTTGTAAAAGCGTATACATCGCCCCAAGAATGAATTACTGACTCGATGGAGTCGAGTAACTGGTACTACTAGCTTGTGTCTGTTCCTAGTATTTACAGAATGAATATCACTTATTTTTATAAAACTACTTTTATTTTTGTGTACGTACATTAAATTTTCATAAATGTATTGAGAGGCCAAAGTTAATATATTAATTTCCTTAAATTTTTGTCGCAGCGACTCTTTAGGCTTTAAATCATAAATTGCTCTTATGGCCCTCTTCTGCAAAACAAATATAATTTCAGTGTCAGCTGCGTGTCCCCATAGCAAAATACCATACGACATTATGCTATGGAAGTAGCTGAAGTAAACTAGTCTAGCTGTTTCAACACTGGTTAGACTTCTAATCTTTTTTACAGCATATGCTGCAGAACTAAGTCTGCTTGCTAGTTTTGATATATGGGGGCTCCATTGAAGCTTCGCGTCTAGTGTGATTCCAAGAAAAATGGTGGTATCTACAAGACTCAGTTTCTCCCCATTTAAAATTACATTAGTATTTAATTGTTTGACATTTGGAGTCACGAATTTCATACATTTTGTTTTAGTGCCATTTAAATGCAAATTATTAACATCGAACCAATTTACTAACTTAGATATAGCATTATTTACTTCGTCATATTTTAGTAACTGTCGACTTAATTTGAAAATTAAAGAAGTGTCATCTGCAAATAATACTATATCATGGTTATCCCCTACTATGTAAGGTAAGTCATTAATGTATACAAGAAACAGAAAGGGGCCGAGAATTGAGCCTTGAGGCACGCCCATTTGTACCATCGATCCGGAAGAGCTCATATTGTTAATGACAACTTTTTGCGTTCTCTTACTTAAATATGAAATAATTAATTTAAGGGCATCACTTCTTACACCGTAGTGTTGAAGTTTCCTGATTAATGTTTCATGGTGAACACAATCGAAGGCCTTGGATAGGTCACAAAATATACCCAAAGCATCCTGTGAATTCTCCCATGCATTAAAGATATATTTAATCAGCTCAACACCGGCATCAGTTGTCGAGCGACCCCTTGTGAAACCAAATTGATTTTTATGAAGTAAATTATTTATATTAAAAAAATTTAACATTTGATCAAGAACAATTTTTTCAAAAATCTTACTAAGTGTTGGTAGTACAGAAATAGGTCTAAAATTGGCGGGGTCTAATGTACTACCAGATTTAAATAAAGGTATTACTTTACTATGCTTCATTAAATCAGGAAACACACCAGATTCGATACTAGTATTAAAAATAATAGCTAAATGAGGCGCGATTGTATCTATTATAGACGCAATAACTTTAACGGAAATCCCCCACAGATCCGCAGTTTTCTTAACATCAATAGTTTTAAAATATTTTACAATATCTTTTGATGTCACTTTATGAAATGTAAAATTCTTTGTACACACATTTACATTATGTTTAAGTAATGATTCGGCGACGGCAGGAGAAGAATTTAGTGACTTAGTGGTCAAGATCGGAATATCAGTAAAATATTTCTCAAAAACCATTGCTACGTCCTGATCTGATACAGTTAATTTGTTGTTAACACTTAACTGGTAATTTGAATTGCGAGAGTTGATCTTACCAGTTTCGCTATTAATTATACTCCATGTCATTTTAATTTTATTGGAAGCCGTCTTAATTTTGTTGCTCAAATGCAAAGACTTGGCTATGGAGCACACTCTTTTAAATATTTTTGAATATTTTTTTACATATTCCCTAAATTCGACGCTATGATTATATGACCTTTCATGGTAAAGATCATATAACCTATGCCTGCTCTTATGGACTCCTACTGTCGCCCATTCATTGAATGACTTCCGACTGTTCAAGGAGAATGTTTTAGAAGTAAAAGTATTATTAAATTCATTGCAAATAAGCTTAAATAATGTTCCATACAAAATATTAGGATCATTTTGGTATGAAAGTGATGGAAGTTTTTTCACTATGTTACTTCTAAATTTCTCCAAGCGACGTGCATTTACTGGAACAGACACAACTTTCTCATCTACTTGCTTTTTGTGAACATAAGGTAACGAAACTACTTGTCCACAGTGATCAGAACTTAATTTTTGAATTATACATTTATGCAACGGCTTCACATTTGTAAAAATGTTATCTATACATGTTGCACTAGATTGAGAAATACGCGTTGGCTCTATAAATAAATTAAAAAGACCATATGATTTAAACAATGATCTAAATTTAATATTGATGGAGGAAGCTTCTAGGAGATTGATATTAAAATCTCCACATATTACAACAGACTTATTCTGTTTATTAAGCTTAGCAAAAACTTCCTCCATAATGTTTTCAAAAGTATCATATGTACAACATGGGGGTCTGTAGACGCTCACAACAATGAGGTGCTCAAACTCAACACATGCCATTTCTACAGTTCGCTCAACAGAGAGGCTCACAATGTCTTTACGTTCTTTACATGATAATAATTTACTAGCTAATATTAAGGAGCCACCTCTTAAAACCGTATCTCTATTGAAAGAACTGACCACCTGGTGATTACTGAAGTTAAACATTAAATTATAAGATTTTAACCAATGTTCAGTAATACATAAGATATGAATATTGTTGCTATTTAAGAACAACTCAATTTCTAGCTCTTTGCCTATCATGCCTTGTATATTTTG